GTCTCCTTAATCGCTATGCCCACACCGTGCACGCCCCTCTTGTCCTTGGTGCCGGCACGGGCACCACTCCAGATGAAGGTGTTCCTCCTCGGGCTTGTGTAGACTACCCTTTTTTTTTTTTTCTTGCTTATGGTGTTGTTGTTGTTGTTGTTGTTGTTGTCTTCACATTAAAAACCATCCNATCACTTGACTCGGCCAATTTCCGTGGTCACAGGCTAACGTACCTAGAAAAGGTATGCCAAAATAAAATGGACCCCAAGGAGGGTCAGCAGAGCGATAAAATACAAGAAAACAAAAGAATCAGAAACAAATAAATAACTAAATAGTGGAACGTGCGCACCACCAGCCTGGGGGGTAGCCTTCCAGAAGGACCCCAAGGGTCAGCAGTACGTACCAGTAAAAAAAACAAAACAAAATAAAAAAAAAACAAAATAAAATGAAATAAACCAAAGACAGCAAGTATGTATGTGTTATTTAGATCTTCTGATGGCTCTAGCATTTTTGTGACCTGTGGAACCCTAGTCCAATCGAGGGAGTTTGTTTGTGCTCTGAGGAGCCCTCGTGTTAGTTTCCTACCCTCCAAGATGCAAGACCGTTGGTTAACACACCATACAGCAGTTCTTCATTTTTCAGAACTGACCCCGACGGGGCATCCACACATACCTCCTCCCCTCCCCGGCCTGCTCCCCGGCCGGGGCCGAAATCGACCTTGTGAGTCCCTCGCGGGCGAACCAGGCTGCCTGGTTCGCCCGCGAGGGACTCACAAGGTCGATTTCGGCCCCGGCCGGGGAGCAGGCCGGGGAGGGGAGGAGTGTGTGTGGCTTGCCGACGCGTATCCTCGTTGACCTTTCGGGTGAGGAAGAAGGCATTGCTGTATCAGCAGGCTGGTCGGAACAATTCTTCACGCGTACCTACCCTTCGGCCGTCGGCAATGAGGGGGAAGTACGTCAAGGAATCGTTGTTGTCGGAGCACCACAAACCCATTGACTGCAGCAGCGCTTTGAAAATAACATTTGGGGAAAACTTTGACGAAACAATAGCTGAAATCACGTGGCCTAGCTCGCTGCAACAGCTCGAGTTTGGCACATTGTTCGACCAGCCGATCGTATCGGTCAAATGGCCACGGTCTCTTGAGAAAATCATATTCAACGGCCTGTTCAACCAACCGATAGAGGGTATCTCGTGGCCACACCATCTTCGCGAGCTGAACTTGGGGTTTGGGTTCAACCAGCCAATTGAGGATGTCGCGTGGCCGAAGTCGTTGCAGATTCTTTCGTTTGGAACCTTTTTCAACCAAACGATTGAACGGGTCAAGCGGTCACCACTCGTCAACCTGGAGCTCGAGGTGGACTTCGACCATAAGCTTTCTGAAGTCGAATGGCCGGAGTCGCTACTGCGGCTGACCTTGGGGGACTTTTCGACCGAGAGATCGAACACGTCAGGTGGCCCAGCTTGCTTCAGGAGCTAGCGTTTGGTGACATGTTCAACAAGCGTATCGAAAACGTTTCTTGGCCTGACCGGCTCAAGAAGCTGACCTTCGCGTGCAAGTTCGACCAGCCAATCGAGCGTGTGACGTGGCCCGCTTGTCTCGAGGTGCTCGTCTTTGGAGATAAGTTCAACCAGCCGAATGAAGGTACCAAGTTTCCGGCAACGCTCAAGAAGCTCACATTGGGGCCCAATTTCTTGCAGCCTTTGGACAACGTCTCATGACCGCAGGCGCTCGAACATCCACACCTCGGGAACATCTCCTATGTGTTTTGGCTCGGAAGCATGGTTTGGCCGCCGTCGGTAAGGGTGACGATAGGCGATGCATCGATTGCTGATAGTTGGAGTGATTCTAAGTCCGAGTAGGCTATGGGTGCCGCGGCGGCCGGTAACAATCGGTCGAAATGTGTTGACGCAGGTAACCTTTACAACTATCTCCATATGGCAGAAGGAAGTTGGTCGGAGCATGGGGTCGACAGCGAAGGAAGCAGGGGGAGGGAGTCGCACACAATGTACCACGGAGAATCATCGAATAGAAGCAAAAGTTTGTTGA